AAATTCCTGACCACTGCCCTCTAAGAGGCCACCTGGCTGAGCTGCTCTGACTTCTTTTCCTACTGCTCTCCCCCATCCTGCATCAGCTCCGTGCTCACCGGCTCTCTCCCAGTTCTTGATGTACAACGAACGCATTCCTGCCCCCAAGCCTTTGCACCAGAGTTCTTCCTTGAGGTCTTGCAAAGCTCGATCCTTCCTATCGTTCAGTTCAAAATTATCTTCCCGAATAGATCTACTGTAACCAACCAACTTAACGTGACCTCCCTCACCTGACATGTTCCACCATCGTGTCACCGTCTCACTTTACCTAAAGCATTCTTAGCATCTGAATTTATCTAGTCTATTAACTAATGGTTTACTGTCTGCCTCCCCCCCACCCCCTCAGTTAGAGTGTTAATTCCAAGAGAATGGAAACCATTTCCTTCCTGTGAATTGCTGAAACACCAGTGCCCATTCTTGGATACTGCTTTCCAACGTAAAGACAGCTGAAGAGACACTGTGGCAGAAGTTACAGCGTTAAGAAGTGAATATCATAGGCTTGCCAAGTAACAGCGGGGGCCTGCTGAGGTCAGAGAGCATCAACTTCGTATTTTTCAAGACTTTCTCCAGCTACTCTTGACAGCCTGGGAGGAATGTAGACAGGTAGATAAGGGAGAGAAACCCAACAGAGAATAAACACGATGGGCAGAGCCAAAGGTCAGAGGATTAAGATATCAGTGAATGGCTGAGAAGGCAGTTGGAATAGGACCCCCTGGGGGAGCTGATGGATTAGGATGGATTAACATTTTGGACTGACAACCTAGTGTTGCAAACAGCAGGGAAAACTAGTACCAGGGCACCATGGATGGATGACATTGCACATGGAGTGCCGAGTTCCAAAGACAGCAGCTCCGGAGATGGTGGAGATGCTTTGCCGGAATGGGGAGGCCTGAAACTGGTGAGCCCGAGGCCCCTAGTCTATCCCTGCACTGCTGTGTCCCGCCTCCTCTACCCAGAGGCTCGGCGGCCATTCCAGCAAGCAGGTGTGGCCCTTCCTCCGGGGGACTGCTCTCTGCGGCAAGTACCATCTTGGTTAAAGATGTCAATGACAAGTCACCGAAATGTTAAGAGAGGAGATAGCATCAAGAAAATTTAATTCTTCAGGGCCTAGCTTCTCCCCTTTTTTTCCTTAGTTATGATTTTCCCCCCCCCAACTCCTCTTAACAGAGTTATCAGAGCTCAGGAGGGACAGGGACAGGGAAAACAGGCTATGAAATCCCAATCTGGACTCAGTGGCAAGAGAATAATAAAAAGATTATAGGTAATTTTTCCTCTTGAATTGTAGAAAAGGGGTGTGGATTCAGCCTAACTGTAGAAGGGCCTGGGTCAGGCTGCTCACGCCATCTCTCAGAGGTATTGCTCTGGAAAATAGGGAAAGAGACTGAAGGTTTCCAACTGGGGTGGCCAGAGAGAGCAAATAAAAATATTGGATGCCCATTTAAATTTGAATTTCAGATAAACAGTGAATTCTTTTCAATATATGTATAAGCCCCATGAAATATTAGCATACTTATGCAAATTTACCTGGACATCCTGGCAACCCTAACCCTACATGCCGGAAGGGAGGCCCCAGAACTAGACGGAGCCATTAAAGAGAAGACACTTCCTGTGTCTTCCCTGGCTACGCAGGGAAGCCAAACGTTCTGGGGTCATTCTGAATATGAATGACAGTGGAGGTAATATCCACTTTCATTTACTACTTAAAGATGAGAGAATTCAGTAGCAGTTATATATGCATACATTTATATATGTAATATATACATTTATATAGAGATATTACAGAAGTTGATTAGGTTTTGCTCTACAGCTAAGTTATAAATTGCTTTGTGGCTTTACCCAATAAAAAGGAAAAAATAGTGCGAGGCGGTGAGCCCAGGTGCCTGAGTCCTGCCAGCTGCTCTGGGCTAAGCAGCCTGTTGGGTGTGTGTGCTCACCTGCCAGTCTGTGCTGCTTTCCTCTCTTGTGCATCACAGATGAGGGTTTTTGGAGAGGAAAAACAAAAAACCCAACCCCCCAGGTAAATATATTCTCAGGCTGATGGTGTATCTAAGTTTATTTTCCATTTGTCACAACTGCTTTCCAAGAAACCATAATATAAAATATCGTGGGCCCAAGAGACAGCAAGTGCAGAGCGTCCCTGAGTCACTGTTTATTTTGTTTGAGTGGTGATACAAACCAGGTCAGTCTGTCATAGGAACACAGACCTGGGCATTCTGAAACATATGTTAGATTCTGTTTATGTAATCCTAGAGGCAGTGTTGTGGAAAGCAGAGGAAGGATGGCAAAGAACTTTTCTACCCAACTGAGCATTATGGACCAATTAATATCTACAAACCTATGGAAAAAAGGAACATCTCAACATCATAGTTTTTTCTCTGCCAGCCTCTGTAAGAAATTCTTAAAGGCCAGCAAATGTCAGCATACAGGTTGGCCCTAATCACTGCTCTGCAAGGGAGAAGAAAGGAACGACCATACAACATTGCTGGAATAGCTGATAGAACATGTGTGTCTGGGAAAGCTAGTGGAGAAAGCCTCACACAGCGAAAATCGCTCTTAATTTACAACGTGGGCTGACAGTCTGTTGCAGACTGATTCAACGCTCGTGAATAACCCATCTCAGCACCCCTAAGTGTCTCATGCCAAAAGATCCTAAGAGGGCTGAGCAACTTGGAAGGAAGGATACACAGGCCCAGATGGCGCACATCTGGCCAAAAATTAGGAAGAGAAAGAAATCAACTTCTCTTATGCAAATTTACCTGGACATCCTGGCAACCCTAACCCTACATGCCGGAAGGGAGGCCCCAGAACTAGACGGAGCCATTAAAGAGAAGACACTTCCTGTGTCTTCCCTGGCTACGCAGGGAAGCCAAACGTTCTGGGGTCATTCTGAATATGAATGACAGTGGAGGTAATATCCACTTTCATTTACTACTTAAAGATGAGAGAATTCAGTAGCAGTTATATATGCATACATTTATATATGTAATATATACATTTATATAGAGATATTACAGAAGTTGATTAGGTTTTGCTCTACAGCTAAGTTATAAATTGCTTTGTGGCTTTACCCAATAAAAAGGAAAAAATAGTGTGAGGCGGTGAGCCCAGGTGCCTCAGTCCTGCCAGCTGCTCTGGGCTAAGCAGCCTGTTGGGTGTGTGTGCTCACCTGCCAGTCTGTGCTGCTCCTGCTTTCCTCTCTTGTGCATCACAGATGAGGGTTTTTGGAGAGGAAAAACAAAAAACCCAACCCCCCAGGTAAATATATTCTCAGGCTGATGGTGTATCTAAGTTTATTTTCCATTTGTCACAACTGCTTTCCAAGAAACCATAATATAAAATATCGTGGGCCCAAGAGACAGCAAGTGCAGAGCGTCCCTGAGTCACTGTTTATTTTGTTTGAGTGGTGATAAAAACCAGGTCAGTCTGTCATAGGAACACAGACCTGGGCATTCTGAAACATATGTTAGATTCTGTTTATGTAATCCTAGAGGCAGTGTTGTGGAAAGCAGAGGAAGGATGGCAAAGAACTTTTCTACCCAACTGAGCATTATGGACCAATTAATATCTACAAACCTATGGAAAAAAGGAACATCTCAACATCATAGTTTTTTCTCTGCCAGCCTCTGTAAGAAATTCTTAAAGGCCAGCAAATGTCAGCATACAGGTTGGCCCTAATCACTGCTCTGCAAGGGAGAAGAAAGGAACGACCATACAACATTGCTGGAATAGCTGATAGAACATGTGTGTCTGGGAAAGCTAGTGGAGAAAGCCTCACACAGCGAAAATCGCTCTTAATTTACAACGTGGGCTGACAGTCTGTTGCAGACTGATTCAACGCTCGTGAATAACCCATCTCAGCACCCCTAAGTGTCTCATGCCAAAAGATCCTAAGAGGGCTGAGCAACTTGGAAGGAAGGATACACAGGCCCAGATGGCGCACATCTGGCCAAAAATTAGGAAGAGAAAGAAATCAACTTCTCAAATCCACAGACAGGTGTTTGGGGCCTCCCAGGAGACCTGCTTAGGAAAGGAAACAGGGATGGTTCTAAACTGATGGTTAGCTAAGGAACAACAACCGTCCCTGAGAAATAATGAAGAATTGGTACAGGTCACCATGAATCAAACAGGTGGCAAGAGCATAGGAGCCCTGCTGTCCACCTTCTCTTGATAATTGCATCATTTCGAAGACATTTAAATTAGTTAGGTGATTGTAACTGAGACATCTTTAATAATGCACCAAACAGCAGGCACCAGGTTGAAATCAATTAAAAATCCAACGCTAAATTATAAGGTAGAAATTTACAAGAGAACCTGCTTTGGAATAGGGGCTGTTAGGTACCCACGTCTGACAAAGACAATTACATTAGGTACCAAATGGGTATTGCCTGGTCCTTTGAGGAGCGGAAACACGGCCAGGTTTCCCTAAATACAGGCACTAATAAAAAACGAAAATTAAGAGGTCCGATCTCTGAGCAGTGTTCTGGGTAGCCAGGAGAGAAAAAAGAACAGTGTAGGCAGGAACAAATCCCACACTGGAGGTGTCCTGTGCAAAGAGAAGTCAGCAAGCGGGGTCTACAAGGCGTCTGTCTGGGTGGGCTCTTGGGGCTATTTGGGGACCGGATGAGCCCCGCACTGGAAGCTGGCGGCTTAGACAGGAAGGCATCTCAGGCGCCTGCCTTCTTGGCGCCCAGAGGGTGACGACCGCCTGGGTGTGACGGCTAAGTCTCCCTTTCTAGCGAGGGTGGCCTGGCGGCCTGCACGTGCAGGTGCTCCCGGGCGCCGCGTCCCGCCCTCGACCACTCGGGGGCACAGGGCGCAGGCGCGGGGCGACCAGGCGCGGGTGGCTGCAGCGCGACTCCAGACCGCCAGGGGCTGCTGTGGCGCAGCCGGCTGCAGCGCGACTCCGGGCCGCCAGGGGCCGCGGTGGCGCAACCTGGACGACCCGCGCTGTCGGAGCCGCAGCTCGCCACCCCCTCTTGAGCACGGCCCTGCCGGTTTGGCGGGGTTAAAGGTTGCGAAGATGGCGACGGCCTTGAGCGAGGAGGAGCTGGACAATGAAGACTATTACTCGTTGCTGAACGTGCGCAGGGAGGTGAGACCTGCGGCGGAACGCCGTCGGGGCGGAGGCCGGGCCGGGTCGTTCGGGAGGGCTGGGCTGGTGGCGACAGCCGCGTCCCCAGCACAGGCGGCCGGGGCCCGGCGGGGAGGCCGCGTGACCCCGCCCGACATGCGCGACCGCCGGCCGGCCGTGCGGTCCCCGCCACCGCAGCCTTCGCGCGTGGGGAGTCCGACCGGCCTCCGTCCCTGCCCTCCTCCGCCCGTGTGTCCCCACACCCAGAGGAGGGAGCAGGGTCCCCGAAGTGGAGGCTACTGGAGTGGGGCACCCTGTTCTCGGGGACCCGGCGCCACGCGTGGCTCCCACACCCGTCTTGGCTCCGGGCCTGTGTCATCTACCCGGCCGGCAGGACGGGAAACGGAGTCTCAGGCACCAAGGTCAAGACCACCAGGCAGCCTCCCCAGGGGTATGTCCGGTCTTCTTTGGGAACGTTCCGCTCTGAAGTCAGTCCAGGCCTAGAGGCACGTGTCTTGTGCCCTCCCTTCCCTTGAGCGGCGGGTCCAGAAATTGAAGGAAGAGCCTCCCGGACTTAAACGGCCCTATTATGGAGGCCGCAGACTAGGAAGAAGCTCTAACTCCAGGAAAGAAGTGGTGTCCAAGCACGGCCTCTGCATGCGTGCTGGTTCCCGCACGTCAAGGGCTTAAGCCTGTTTCCTCATTGAATAAAAGACAAAAAGAGAGTCTCACAATGTGTTTGGCGCGTAGTCGGGGGCCCAGTAAGTTTCTTGTTGACCAGTGCAGTCGGGATCAGCATGAAGGGCAGAAGGCATCCAAGGTCAGGTCGGTCATGACGTGGATCGTGTATCTCTTATTTAAACAGCTGGGTTCGGTCTTCCCAGCCCTTCAAGAATCCCTGATTCGATCTTTCAGGTTTTCCGCTGATCAGAACCAGCTAAGTTTGGCTGTCCTAGGCAAAGCTGGTCAAGAATGTGTTGTCAGTAAATGTTGGTATGCAAGGTGTTAATAATAAACTTTTTTTGGAGTGCTTACTTTATGCAGGGCCACCGTGCTGAATGAAACTTTGTTATCCCATTTAATTGTTGTGTCGGCTCTTAAGGTAGGTATTATGAAAATCCTTGATTTATAGCTGAGGAAACTGAGGCATAGAAAGATTAAGTAGCTTGCCCAAAGTCACGCCAACTAGAAAGTGCAAGAGCCTGAATCAGCCCTGGGCAGCCTGACTCTGGAGCCCCAGCTCTTGACCTCGGGGCTGCCCTTCTGCTCTAGCTTACCAGCTCTCAGGCTAGAGAGCTGCTGGTTCTGGTACTGTGTCCTTGGGCACCCCACATGAGAATTCTTCAAATGTGTTAGCCACTATTTACCATGAAAATGTCAAATGGAATATTTTTGAGAATTTCAAATCCCATTAGTCTGCCATAGGAAACCTGGAGGTTCTTGGAACTAATCAGTATTAAGGCTTTGGGTAAGGCTTCTTTGGCCTTGAGTTTCTTTCCCTTTGAAGGAAGTTGTCTGGCTAGTTATTTTAAGTTTTCTCCAATTCTTAGAAGCAAAGCAGTAAATGAAACTAGCTTTTCTGACAACCTTTCTTACCACTCATTTAATCTGGGTTATCAGTATTTGATATTGAGCAGCTATTTATTCATTTACCAGGCTTCCTCATCTTAAGCCACTGTAAATGATCAAAAAGATCTGGGATAATAGTTGTGGCCAAAATCCTAGGTAAACATTTGTTAAAAATATACCTTGAGACTGCTGGAATCTTAGGACCTGTCATTGTTTTTGTTTTACTGTTCTTTATTGAAGTATAGTTGATGAACTATAATATTGGTTTCAAGTATACAACATAGTGGTTTGACAGTTAACTACTTTTTTAAATGCTCAACCCCAAAGGACCTGTCATTGCTACTGGACTGATTGATGGGAGCCAAAGAAATACTTCTTTTAAAAAAACTTTACTTTTTCTAATGAGTGGAGGGCATTTCCCATATTTATGGCTGTAGGTGAAACCACTATGAAACGTGGTCTTGTTTAGATCACTTTGTGTTGCCTTTGTCAAATTCAGCATAAAACGTGTCAGGTGCAGAGTGCAGATTTTTTCTCTCAGGATCCTACTGGAGGAGCAGCTCTGAAAGTCATCTTTGGATTTGATATTTACTATAAGTTTTTAACCTGAAGTTGAAATAACATGATTTAGTTGGAGAGTTAGAGAAAAAGAAGTGATCTTAATTCTTAACTGTGTGGTTGGAAGAGGGACAATACCACCTGTTTGTGTGTGTGCTGTCGGTGCTGCAGCTTGGCACCCTTTGAGGTGAGCTTCCCACCAGACTTTAGAGTACTTTCAAAAGAGTATCTTCAAAACCCTCAACATTCAAGAATTTGACACTTCTCCCTAAGAGTCTCAAATGGAAGCAGCCTGACACAAAATTGAAGTAACAGAAATGTCAAAAATCAGTTTATGAATCTCCCCAGTTATTAAACTTTAAAATACCCCCTTAAACTGTAGTCCAGGGGATGATGCAGGAAATTAGACAGGACCACCAGACTGCTCTAGACAAGACTTACATGATCCCAAGGATTCCCTTTCTCTAGTGTTCAGGATCTCCTGTTTACATTGTGGAGCCATTTGTCTACCTCCCCCACCTGAGGGAACAGAGTAATTTATCATTACCTGGGAACACAGGAAACGAGATTGGCTTCTCTTCTGTAGTGTGGGCCCATGCATCCTCAGGTGCCTAAAATCTGACTGATTGGAGATTTGTGAGATGAATTTCCAAAATTTATTTGGAGAAAGCTTTCCTGAAAGTAAATCAGAGTGAAATTTCCCTTATGCAGTTTTTCGACACATTTTAATTGACACATTTTAAACCCACTTTACTTCTAAATACTCTAATTCCAATTTTGTCAATGTCGTATTGCCCTTGAAAGAGTTTGTTTTTACACAGGTCATTTGACAGTGTATATAAACCATTTTAATATCTTTGGTCCCAGTTGATTCACCCTTAAAGGGGCCAGTCTCCTTTTCAAGTTTTAAACACTTTAAAAAAAAAACCACACACAATTGTTACTTAAAAATAAATTTAAGTAAAAAGGCTTTTTCTTGCCCTCCACTAATGAAGGTCAGTGTTCTGAGATCTCCATCTTTCTGGAACAGCCATGAAACTAGAAGTGCAAAATCATTACTTACCAATAAGAAGTTTTATCAGAGTCCCTGCATCTTCATTCCTTCCCTGATATGGAAGGAATTTTCCTTTCCACATTGTTCTTTTCCACAATTATTGGTAGTCTGGGTTTCTCTGGCTGCAGGTTAAAGTCACAGAGTGGGCCTAACATGTGGATCTGGACTGCAGAGGGGAGGAAAGGGCTAGAGCAGTAGAGGAAAGGTCCTTGGTCACTGAATTGACCTGGGGGGACAAAGTCATTCAGAATGGCTGGGTCATCAACAGACACTGAGTGTAAAAGAGTAGACTAAGCCAGGTGCAGTCAGGTCCCTGAAGCGCTGAGGTGCTGCCTGTTTATTCATTTGCTGCTTATCTGACCTCATGGTGGTCAGGCAGTTAGTTTAGTCTTAACAAGGAATATAAAGAGGGGTTTGAGAAGGTTATTCCTTCAGTGAGCTTCCCATTTACTACACTATGTTCAAAGTCTGATATTTATAACAAAGCCCCTGCATAAAACATGTTGAGCCTTGGCCTATCCAAAAACCTAACTTACCCAGATGATCACCTTCCTAAGGTGTTAGGAGCAGGAATTTCAGCCCACGCTGCCACTGGATGCCCTTGAGTAAGTCATCTAACCTCTGAGTCTCTACTACCTGCAGCATACTTCCTTCCTGGATTAGAGAGGAAGAGGGGCGGCCCTGTAAGCCTTCGCGGCCAGATAGTCCTGTATTCAAATCCCAGCTTTACTGTGCCTCCGGGCTAGTTGTTTAACTGGCATTTTGCTCCCCATTTTCTTTGACATGAAATAATGTAGTGAGGATGTGTGTGAGTGCCTGGCGTAAGCAGTTATTCAGTTCCATTTATTGTTGTATTTCTTGGATAAACATGAGGTTTTTGCTTATTTTAAGAAGACATGTATGTACATGAAAAGCTTTGGTATGTTTCATCCTGGCTAAATTTGCTATCCGTCTGTGGTGTCAATAAAAGTGCCAGAATTTAAGCCAAGTATTAGGTTATGAATTCCCAAAGCTTTTTTTACTCTTTCTGTTCAAAATACTTTATCTCCAAGAGACAGTTGTCTGATTCACTCCAGGACCTCCAGAAGCTACTCCAAGCCATGTCAGGCCCAGGAGTCCCTCGGACTAAGATACGGGAGCTGGTTTTCTAAATCCTTTTGAAGCCATAAAACTGCAAATGGTGATGGAAATGGAACCCAAGATAGAAGAGCCCATCTTCCAAGGCTCTCTCGACTGACCAGTGGATAGAGACCTTACTGCCCCCGCTCTCAGCATGAAGCAGCCAGAGCAGTCCTTGTCGCCTCTCCCTAGCAGCAGCTAGGGTCTTCATCTGAGGAGGGGGGATGAGACAAGGACCATGGGTTTAGACAGAGTAGGGTGAGGGCCGGCCTGGGGGGTGGGGGAAGCAAGGTAATCCGTTGTGGGATTTGCTTTGGCCTGCTGGGGGGCCAGGTTGTTTTTCTGACTTTACCCAGGTGCTGCTTTTCTTCCTCCGCCCTTATCAAGTGATTTGCAGCCTGGGCAATTTAACAAGCAAGCCCAAAACAATGTAGTAAAAACAGGAAGGTTCCATCTTGAAAGTAAGATTGATTTAAAAACCCAATTAGTTAAAAAAGTAAGTTCCTTAACACACTCTTTAATAAACACAATAACTCAGCCCACCTTGGAAGCAAAGCAGGCAGTCTTCGGTGATATGCTCCCAGACCAGGAAGCTGCTATCCTGGGAGGAAATCAGAGCAGTAAACTTCTTGTAAATAACCAAGAAGACTACAAAGATACACATTTGGGGGTCACTTAGCAGGTGTATATCCCTAGCCCTTTGTCTCTACCACCTGTAAAA